CTCAATCTTAAGTAGGAGCTTTTCAAGTCGTGTGTTATCTGGGATTATGGTCTGCTGAGACCTACTGACCGTAGTAGCTGATACGCTTGCAAGTCTGCGCGGCAAGGGGTTTGCATAATCTCCCGTGCCGGTTCTCTGTGTAAGTGTTCTTGCTATTCTTACGCCCCAAAGTTCAGTGACTGTTAAGCTACTATTGAAACAAGTCAGAAAACAATTGCGAGAGATGTCCAATCGTGTCCAATTTCCAATCCCGACATGCCTCTGTGAGTCTCATAAGCAACCTACTTATGTCCATGTTTCTGAAGAAGCAAGCTGCAAGGATAGAGGAGGTAAGGGAGCTAGGACACGGCACAGAGCGTTTCTAGATAGTCCGACAACTGTTGTGTTGAGCCGATGAGTGAAAATCCATGTATGTCGGGCGGTCGTACACGATCGAGATGCATACATGCCAAGCCTTATAAAGCGGAATACTAAAAAGGAGAAATATGGAAAATGGTATTGAGGAAAAAGCAAAATTCCAAAAGGCGGAGGATTTTGTCTCTTTGAGCTACCGGTGACAGCTAAACGTGTGAAACATGAGCTTCACATGATCGCCTTTACTATCAGAACTACAATGACCCTTGCTACTATATTAAGAAGCCCAACATTAGCTGCTCCTAGTACTAAGTGGATAGATCATTAGTACCATATGCGCTTGCCCTAGTCATTGTGGGGTTGGCTGTAGAGGCGTCGTCTCTGATAGTTACTTAGTAGTGTAAGTCTGTTCTCATCCCGTGACTCTTCTTTTTTTTTTTTTGGATGATGTAAATTTGTGATATGTCATTCGCTTCCAATACGATAGATTTGTAACCCGACGAGAGTTTATTGCCGCTAAGCAACATGCCCATGCAAAGCGATGGCTGAGCTTACAAGAGACCGTTCGGATGAATGCAGAGTGGCAATTGCATCATGCGGTACGAATATATACAGCTAAGTACTTCCTCGACTGAGTACTTCATTTTCTGTTGAGGCGCTGCAGGAAGTACGAATCTCAACGATGTAGTAAATAGACTACTAAGAATACTCAACGGCTACAAGTATTGGTCTACTACTCAAGCGTGGACACGATGAGCATGGACCACGAAAGTGCACGTGGGCAAGGCATCGCCCACTGCATCCAGATCGTTTGCAGTATACTTTTCCTACTCCGTAGAACTTGAGCCAAGACTCTGAACTCTACACATGCGTTATGCATTGGCCTATTTTCGACACTGGTCAGACATGATGCCCTTATGATCCCGTATTGAGATGGTGATTATTGCTACGTCATGGCAGTATTGACATAGGCTCAAGCATCCTTTGTTGCTGTACCTGTGGCGTCGGACATAAACAGTCGCATGGTGACATGTTTATGGCCAGTCTTCCCGAGAGAATTCCAAGCCGACCTCGAACCCGACCGCAGTAAGAGTCAAGAGTACAGCAGGAGTACATATGCAGCCGGCCCTGGTGAGCAGCCCACCCGCCCTCCAAATACGTTGAAGTCTAGATCCTGGTCAAATATGCGGCGACCGAATACACACCCGCCTTCCTCCGCACTACTACTATCCTACCTTTTAGCACTTAGCACTTAACCCTAGTTTTCCGTCATTTTTCTTGGGTTGCGTGGCTTGATCTGTATTTACCATACGTATGCAATAGTACGGGTAGCCAATGAACGGGTTTCCAGTGAAAATCGCGGCTGGTCACTTGACACCCAGGGGCCAATGGCAGCACATGATGGCAGAACTACCCTGCCTGTCACCGGAACCGCCCAGTGGACCTCCTACCTCACGACCTACTTACTTTACTGTCCATGTCTGAAATCTTCATCGGGCTATGACATGGATGGGAGGTACTAGTGATCCAGGCACCTCTTCTGTGGCTCGCCTTTGGCTTTCCCGATCGGCATTCTACGGGCCGCGGGAAGAAGTTCTGAGATGGTTTGAAAGGCCTGGATCCCTCCAAAGCCTAGAGCTAGTTGTAGCTAGCTATTGAGCTCAACGGATATGACTTTCAAGATACACTAGATACGCCCCTAATGTCGATATAGGTTATTCTCGTCCCCAGATAGGGGGGAAAGATTGTTGAGGCGCGCGACTCACCGAGCCCTAGAAGAGCGTTGGTTTCTCTTCCATCACTTACGTACAAACTCAGAAGTACCGCCGTGGTTGCTAGTTAGTTAGTTACGGAGATCTCCTGACCAACCCCTCCTTTCTCTACTGCAGGGACAAGGAAGATTTGGTCTTGCTGGTCTTGTTCTAGCCCACCCCCTGTAAAATGCGATGCCAGGAATGGTAGGAATCAAGGCCATTGATCCCGAGCGTGGTCTGCTTGCATTGGTGGGGGAGTTAACAACCCAACATAACTAATGAGAAACATTACGATTGCGATCCAAGGGTGTTCGGGAATGGAGATGCACCACTTGCCCGTTTTAAGCACCACTAGATAGTCAGATACTGAACGACAATATTAATGCTAAATCTCGAACCCAAGCGCTCGGAGCCAAGGTCATATGCCCATTAGGAATGGGCCCTCATTCTCTCAATCCCAGCAGCAGCTGTCTACCTCCCGCCCAATCTGGATGGTTCCACCTCAAGTCCGTCATCATTATTCTCGACCTACTGATCTGCTCAAGTTACAAATCTACCATCAGATGTAACTTGTTTTAATGATATTTGTGTTTTATCTACTGTATACTTCTGGGCCTACCGTTCCGTTTCATATTCGGCCTAGGAATGACGCCAGCCGCGGACCCAAAAATGCCTCCTTTTCTAATCTTGAAGTGGGACATATACCAATCAATTATTTCTCGATTGACAGGCAGGGGTGTGTCACTTGGTGGGGAGCGGAGCAAGAACAGTTTCAATGTACAGGATATAGAATCTAGGAAGTGACCATCATACGTAGAAAACCTCATCAAATGTGTATATAGTGACATATCTTAGCGGCATCATCTAAGATGGGCAGAAGTAGCATCGCACCGCCTATCTACTAGCGGTACCCAGGTACCTTGCTTCCGGTAAGGGCAATAGCGTCATAGCCAGACGCAAAGACCTGGGGCAGAGAGCGGCCGATCCGGTATTGTATTGTATCAATACCTAGGTATACAGACACATTATTTCCATTCATTACGCCGCTCTCTCTGTCTCTCTCATTTTTTCCCTTTTCTACAATAGTTCCCTTAATTTTTTATTTTCCATTTTCTTTCATTCTGGCTATTTAATTTTCTTGCCCCTCCGGGGCCGAGCCCACAATATACCCTCATGCCTATGGAGTTTCATCATTAGCTACCAGTTGCCGTAATGGAATGGGATAATTAAAACAAGATAATAAAAAAAAAACAAAATCAGATTAAAATGGAAGGAAATGGAGTAGAGTGCTAAGATACCTATAGCTTTATATGGGGTACTCTTGACTAGGCTGGTGGGCTATAGGTATAAGTGCTCTCCTTATTATTATTAGTCCAACTGGGGCATTATTGTTCGAACGGGAATACTACCATCTCTACTCGAGGACGAACGCTACTGTGTAAAGAATGGTTATTCTTATGCCGGCGGCCATAAACAGCAATCCCTCAGGTTCTCTGTACCAATAATCCCAACCGTCATCATCCACATCTCTGTTGCCTCTCCACACACTGCCATAGCTCCGTGCCCATCGGTTGTTACCCAGGCTTTCTTTCTTTCGGGAAAGGTAAAGTTACTAACTGCTGTAAGTTGAACCACTCCCGCCCCCCTCCTCCTCCTCCTCCCCTCCTCCACCCCAAGCCAAACCCAAACGTTGCCTTCTGGGGCCTAACGGACTAGTAACAGACAGGGAGAGAACAGTAACAACTTAACCACATATTGAGACAGGCTGGTTTTTGATCGGATGCTAGTAATCTTCTCCCTCCTTTTGGTATTGGTATCTTCCTCCAAGAGTCAGAAAAGCGCCCGTGTGCTCCTGATTCATTGATTTCATTATTAGTATTATTACTTCTCTGAAAGAGAGGTCCCTCTCTTTTTTTTCTCCCCCCCTTTAACCTTTTTTATTTTTTATTCTACTTACTGGCCTCCCTGGTCAACGACGTCTATTACTATTCTTACTGATATCTCTTATTTGCCCGGAGTTGGCTCGTGTGTTCCTTGCCTTCTTCCTCTCCTCCCGGTGCTTTATTCCCGCGTTCCTGCAGCCCTCGCGTGTTCGGGCTTCGTCGTTCCATCAACGTCACCTGCTCAAGTCTCTCCTCTCTTACTATCCTCTCTTCCCACTTCCTTCTCCTCCGACCGACCATCCCTCCCTTTTGAGAGCCTGAGCTTTCTCTTACCTACACTTACTTATTTTACCCGCCTTTCCTTGAAATTCCACTGCCACACTTCTGCTGAGGCGTGAAATTCAATACCTACACTTTACACTCCTCCCTCCTCGAATCAGCTGCGGTTCGGTACTCTCTTAACTACTAAACTGCTACTTGCTACTGCTGCTGGTTCTTTCACACATAACTTCACTTTTTTCTCTTTTCTCTTTTCCTTTCTATTTTATTTTTTTTTCTCCTTCTCTTCGAGAAACATTTGTCCCTTCTATCCAAACCCTCCTCCCCTCCACCACCCACCGCTGCCCACACCAACCCCCTCCTTCATCTAAAGAAACCCGCTTCACAATCTTTGGGGCGTTCATTGCTCAGGTCTTGTGTCTGCAACTCTTGGCACGCTCCCCAAGTCCATTGGTCCCCTTGGTCTGAGCCTTCCCTTCTACGATTCGCCCGCCTGCTTCTCAACCTTTCATCTCACGCGCACCTCCACTCAACATCCACCGTTCGGATATTCCGCCCATCCAGAGCACCCCTCCCAACTAGTGCTCCACCGAGTACAGTCTGCCCAAAACGGACCTCACGCCTTACTTTTGCGTCCCTTCCCGACATCCGCTGTTGAAGTCCAGCCCTCCTTATTCTCGATAGCATCGCCCACGTTGCCGCCCGGTGTTGTCCCCACTAGCCGTCCGTGATGTCACAGAATAGACCTGGGGTCTTCTCGAGTCTGCGCATGGGTGGTAAGAGACGTGCCGTTCTTTACGCAATTGTTGCTGAGCCCATCTGCTGGACTCGATTGCTAACCTTTTCCTTCTTGTTTGCGATCATATAGAAGTCGTCCGCGAGAAAGTCCAGGATGGACTTACGGGAGAAACCAAGGAGATCTCCTATTCACAATGTAAAATCGTTGGCAATGGATCCTTCGGCGTCGTCTTCCAAACGAAGATGATGCCCAGCGGCGAAGATGCTGCAATCAAAAGGGTTCTCCAGGACAAGCGGTTCAAGGTATGCTAGGCCACCAATGCTCGTCATCGCCTACCCGGTCGCTAACAGTACCCCCTCCCCCCTCAGAATCGTGAACTTCAGATCATGCGGATCGTGCGCCACCCGAATATCGTAGAACTAAAGGCATTTTACTACTCTAACGGAGAAAGGGTATGTCGCTCTCCCTTCAACACCGCTTGCCTTCCTCTTGCTTCCCCTCAGTTCATGCTGCAACCCGTCTTGCTCGTCGTTTTACCTACTTGTCTGCTGACCATGCCATGGAAATGTCATAGAAAGATGAAGTGTACTTGAACCTCGTCCTCGAATATGTACCAGAGACGGTGTATCGGGCCTCGCGTTATTTCAACAAGTTGAAGACAACCATGCCGATGCTGGAAGTCAAGCTCTACATCTACCAACTTTTCCGTTCTCTGGCCTACATTCACTCGCAGGGAATCTGCCATCGTGACATAAAACCTCAAAACCTGCTGCTCGACCCGAACACCGGTATTCTGAAGCTGTGTGACTTTGGATCCGCCAAGATTCTTGTCGAGAATGAGCCTAATGTTTCATACATTTGCTCCCGCTACTACCGCGCACCTGAGTTGATTTTCGGCGCAACGAACTACACCACGAAAATTGGTATTTCTCTCAAATTCAACCCAGGGGCTCTGCGTATGTACTAATATACATCAGACGTATGGTCTACTGGTTGCGTGATGGCCGAGTTGATGCTAGGACAGCCACTCTTCCCAGGAGAATCTGGAATCGACCAGCTCGTGGAGATCATCAAGGTCCTGGGCACCCCGACGCGGGAGCAGATTCGCACCATGAACCCGAACTACATGGAACACAAGTTCCCGCAGATCAAGCCACACCCCTTCAATAAGGTGGGATCCCTTAGCGGAAACAATCTCGAGCGAAAAATGCTGATGTCCATCAGGTCTTCCGGAGGGCCCCCCATGAGGCCATCGATTTAATCTCCGCCCTGCTGGAATACACGCCGACGCAACGTCTGTCAGCAATTGAAGCGATGTGCCATCCATTCTTCGACGAACTTCGGGATCCTAACACCCGGTTGCCCGACTCGCGGCACCCGAACGGCTCCACGAGGGAGCTCCCTAATCTGTTCGACTTCTCCAGGCATGGTCGGTCTCCCTGAAATCCACTTATTTTGGTTGCCCCCCATACTGACGACCTGACACTGTCATAGAACTTTCTATCGCGCCCGCAATGAACAGCCGGCTGATTCCCCCTCATGCACGTCCTGCACTTGAGGCTCGCGGGTTAGATATCACCAACTTCAAGCCTCTTACGAAGGAAGAAATGATAGCGCGTCTTGACTGAGTCAACCCGTGCAAATCTGACGAACTACACGCCCTTACGTGTGCAAATATGTTTGCACCTGATTGCGGAAATTTGATGTCATGCCCTACGAGCTTATCTTCATGCATCAGGCGGTTCTTGAACTGGGGAAGGTTTATTCGAATCTGTAGACCTAATCCATAGGCTGGGGCATCCGGGAGCTGGCTTCTGTATGGCAGAATACTGAAAGACAGTGTGAAACGTGAGCATGAGGAGCGGGAGAAAGGAAGTTAATGGAAGAAAACAAAACAAAATATCAACAAAAAAAGGAAAGGGAAAAAAAGCAATGAAAAGAAAAAGAAAGGTTTCCATGGAGAGGGAGAGAGGTGTGCCGGGATCTCTGGGAGACTAGGTGGAGCAGAGGGAATTGTGACTCTTGACGACCACAAAAAGTTCTTAAGAGTGGGAGGTTTTAGTGGATCATGACCGTTTCACGCAAAGGGGTTGACGGGATGGTATAGCCTGGAGTTACTGAGGTGTCTGAGACAGCTCTTGGGAGGTAAAAAAGTGATACCCTTATTGCGTGAGTCTGCCTTCCGGGATCAAGTCTGCATAGCTTCATATCTCGATCGAACGGGCTCTGTTCACAAATTGCCGCATGTTTTATTCACAAGGGCGGAAAGATGAATATCCTACAAATGCGTCAGATATCTTTGAGGATTTCTTTGTTTGGATGCGCCATACCGCGTGCCTGTCAGTGTGCTTGAATATAGGTATTGGAGGTCTTCTTTCCCGACTTGCCGCGCTAGAGGCCCCGTTCATGCTGTTTCTGCTGTGAATTCATATCTCTTCGTCTCCGTTCTCATATTCTCGTGGTTCCTTCCTCTTACCTCTACCCTCACCTCTCTAGTCCGCCCCTTTCCTCTCTTCTAAGCCTCATACACTTGGCGTCGACGGCCATGAAGCTATCCAGACGATTCACCTATTTACCTACTTGCTGCTGTTCTTAGTCATTTATCCTAGAGGCCCCAAAGAACATTGCCTGGATACTCTCGTTCTCGTACTGTGTATAACCACAGCATTCTGTATCTTCTCTTCGTTTGACCTCTTCTGGCTTGCATGCTTGCAGTTTTCTATGGGTTACAAGTATGCTTTTGTGTTTTACTGGGATAGCATATACGCGTATGGGTATTACTTTGGTTTCAAATGTTCTTCAGCCACCGTAGCTGTGACATAGATGACACAGTCAGAACCTTCTCATTAAGTGTTATATATCAAATAGTAGTAGTTGAGTCCTCTCTGAACGCAGCACAATTTCCACGGCTCCATTGGAGCTCTGGTTGTGAAGACAGAAGGAACATGGTTAGATAATCAGCGGGACGGAGGATCCCGAGTCCCGACCAGCAGCTGAGCACTATTGATGTTTTGCTTCTTAGACACATGCCCTTCCTATCGCGACGGCATTACCGATATAGAGTTCCTCGCTGCTGCCGCCCTTAGAAGCTGTGCTGCCTACAGCTTGGTTTGGCTCCTTATTCTACCCAGAAGCAATCGTTGCGCGAGACATTTCGTGTGGACATAAGGCCCGCTAGCGATGGCCGACTACGAACGCCGACCTCATGGTCCCAGGGGTGGTGGGCGGAAGAGGCGCTACAGAGGTCAGTAAAACATGCGGTTCCGCTGTGATCGAGTCCTTGTGTGCAATTGCTTGCTTGCCAATTGCTATCATGCCCCCAGACTCCGTCTTTGATTTCTAGCTGGAGCTCCCCTCGTGGCCACTCACCATTAACAATTTCTTGGGATCTGCAGAAGATGATGACTATGACCGCCGCCAGAGGCGTCGATACGAGGAACCGCTTATTGTCAAGGTCCGGAGGCAATTGCTTACGATCGCTGAATCTGTACGAATACCCTCTTCCAAAAACTCGATAAAGTGTGGCAAGTGCCGGCACTCACTGCGAACGTTCTTTAGGCTGCCAGACGAGCAGAAGATGACGCTGTGAGCATCGCAAAAAGTGTGGCGGATAACTACGAAGATCAGGAGTTTAGGAACTCCTTTGTCGATATTGCGCTTGACCTGTATGGCTTGACTGGCTTGGCTGCCCCCCTTTGGCCTGTTTGAACCCCCGCCGAGCTCGGAGCTGACGGTGTTTCTATTATACTAGTGTTTTGGAGCAGCCGCTAAAGATCCCTTTCGTCGCCGCGACCGTTCTCATCGCAAATTTTCAGAAATCCGAGCTCGTGTCCGACGTTCTCAGTAGGTCAGGCGTGTGCTTGCAGAAGTACATTGACGCTGGCGCGTGGCGCGAGGTTAAGCTTCTTCTGCGGTTCCTGGGGTGTCTCCAATGTGTCTTCGAAGGGGATGGCATCTTCCCGGTACTGGAAGAGCTCTTTGCGCGCGCTGTCGACCTTCAAACAGCATCCTCGGAAGATGTAAGCGACGCCGATAAACCGACAGTCCCAAAGGGTCGCAGGTTCGCTAACGATGCGCATACAGTTGATCGGTCTGGAGCTGGTGAAAATTATCCTTTTCACCATTCCCTACGTAATGGCCTCCCCAGCAGCCGGTTTCGAGTCCCAGGCCACCGCACTTCTGGAGAAGACCGATATCATTGCTTCCACCCCTCATACTCTTGTGGACCTGGTTAATCCTTTCGGCCTTGAGAACGGCAAGCCAATTGCTACGCCAAGCGTTATCAGCCTCATCCAGAATCAATTACAGAAAGAGTCCGGCCGGGGCTGGGAGCTCGCGTGTCTTCCTAGGCCATGGAGAGGAGCGCTAGAGGCATTGAATGCACAAGAGCCCGAGGAAGCACAAGAGGGGCAAGAATCGCAAGAAAATGGCGCAGAGCCGAAGACTTATGAGAACGGGCCAAAGCATGCATTCCCTCAAATCACCGTTCCGAGTCCGGTGAAGAATGGAACAAGGGCAATTTTCCCTGAGGCGTACCTTTCCGTGTACGCGAATCAAGACATGGAAACAGTCCCTCCTACATCAGATATCGCATCTTCCTTGCTGCGTGATGCCCTTGTCGACACCATCAACATTCTTGATTTCAACCGCATTGCGACGGCGAAGTTCTTGATTGATGTCGACTGCTATTTTACTCCACACACCTTTGTGAAGCGGGCGACTCCTTTTGATAGGCTGCGCGATCTACCAGGAGACATTAATCTCTGGAAACCCGAAGATGTTGCTGTGGACGCCGTGTTTTCTCAACTATTCCAGCTGCCATCTCCCGAGCACAAACTGGTTTACTACCACTCGGTTCTCACGGAGTGCTGTAAGATAGCCCCGGCCGCTATCGCACCGAGCTTAGGACGTGCAATCCGTTTCTTGTATCGCAGCCTAGAGACAATGGATTTGGATCTAAGTCATCGATTCTTGGATTGGTTCTCTCATCACCTGAGCAACTTTGGGTTCACTTGGAAATGGAGTGAATGGTAAGGCTCATGAGCAGGCAGAATGCAGTGCAGATCGGCTAACAATGGCTCAGGATTGATGACTTGGAGCTGCCTCTCGTTCACCCCCGGATGGCCTTTATTAACGGCGCCCTTGACAAGGAGATCCGGCTGAGCTTTGCACAGCGTATCAGGGGCACTCTCCCTGACCCATACCAAGACTTGATCACAGAAGGAAAAGAGAAAGACACCCCCGATTTCAAGTACTCGTCTGATTGTAAGTTTTTCCCTCCCTTCGCTTCAGGTCCACTCTTCTCAGTCACTCCTATTTACAAACTCGACTTTGGCTGGGATTCAAAACGATTGGCTAATTTATGTTTCGTTCAGCCACTCCGTATGCGAATGAAGGCAGAGAAATCATGCAACTGGTCCGTAAGAAGGCTAGCGACGAGGAGATCCAGCCTTTTATCAACGCAATTGAAGAGCAAGCCAGATCTCTCGGTGTCGAAGACCCGCTGCTGCCTTCAACTGATGCCTTCGTTACGGCCATCTGCTTTGTTGGCTCCAAGTCTCTGTCTCATGTACTGTCCTGCATTGAACGGAACAAGGAACGACTCCTGGCCATCGGACCCCAGTCTGCACAGGCGAGGCGCCAGATTATAACCTCCGTCATGGAGTATTGGGTTGACCAGCCCGGCGTCGGAATCAACATCATTGACAAGCTTCTCAACTACACCATCTTGACTCCACTGTCAGTCATTGAATGGGCGCTGGTGGACAAGCTAGAGGCAGGAACCGTTCTTGCCAAGTCCCACGTGTTTGAGATGATCTCCGCCACTGTTGGAAAGGTCACCAACCGCCTGCGCCAGATTGTTGCCGCACGTACTCAGCCGGGACTTTACGAGCCGCAGCTCAGCGTCCTCGATGAGACGCTCAGTCGTGAGAAGGTCGATATGCAATCCCTTTTCAAGGTCATCGAAGACTCCATCGTATCAGTGGCCGGCGGAAGCAACGACGAGCAGATGGAAAGAGGAGATGGAAGTGGAAACTTGCCTGAGGATGAAATCATCCGGCAATGGGGCCAGCGCTGGCTCAGAGTGTTCCGCAGGAAAGCTGGCGTCGAGGAATCTTTCATTGCGGACGCCATGGCCACAGCTACTCCTGTCGGCACGGTCGCTCCCCCTCCGGCCCCGGAAGAGACTGGCGCTTCAGAAAGTATCCCCGCAGATGGGGAAATGGATATCGCTGAAGCCGATGCGAGCGTGGACATCGAATGAGCGTGGGAGCTTGGATCAGGCTGTAATCGGATCAGATATGCTTGGGGAAGGAGACCTTCAATCTTCAACTCCAGGATTTCTTTCCATTTTTCTCTTCGCTCTTCTGTATACATACATAAGTTAGGTTGTGGCACTTGTTTTATCTCGACCAATTTCAGCGGGTGAGGGCGTTCAAACTAAAAATCAAAAAGAGTAATATAACCACTAAAGAGGAGAAAAGAAAAATTAAGGAATAGCTTTAGTTCACTGAATCTTCTTGTGATGTTCTGCTAACATGAGTTTCTTGGTATTTCCCTGCTGCCTTTGTCAACTGAGAGGTGTTGTATCTACACCTATACATACATACAAGGACATATAATAATA